ACGCCCACCTTTAGGGTGCAGCGCGTGTTTGCTCACCTTTGTTTCCACGGGGATGCAGCGCCTGGTGCCTCTCCCGCCAAGCTCGAACTCGTCTGTCGTGAATCCAGGCCAGTTCCCCGCCTTCACTTCGTCTACAAGGGAGAGGAAGAAAGGGTAGGGTACGCGGAACCTTCGCCGAAACTGCTTTGCCTCTCTCGTCGAAGGGTCCTGCAATAGGTCGGCCTTCTCAAGCATCCTTGCCCAAGGCAAGGTGCGGTAGTCCGCTCTCGGCCGAACCGTGCGGCGGCGCTTGGGTCGCGGTTCTTCGTCGTCCTCTTCATCTTCCTCCCGGTGCAATTGTCGCAGCAACGCGACCAGAAGCTGCTGTTGATGATGCAGCGCGGCAAGCGCCAACGAGAGCACGGTCAACACCGCCCTCAACTCTACAAGGTGCACCATAGCCAGCAGCACGTCTGCGCGTGCGGTGCGATCACCCAAGGCTCTCGATTCAAAACACGGCGGCCATACGCCCACTTTTTCACGAACCCCCCGGGATCCCTGCTAGGAATTTGTGGTCGCCCGAGTTGGAATCCGGCCCGGATTCCAACTCGACTTGGCTGGAATTCCTCGAATTGGAATTTTTCGGGATTCCAACGTCCCCATAATTTAGGTTTTTTTCCCCATTCCTGGAATTCCCGGGGGTTCGCGGAAAACAATGTCAAGGGGTCCCACCAAATTTTCCCCGGATTCCTGTTCCATAACAATTGGCCTTAGGTTTTTTACCCCATTCCTGGAATTCCCGGGGGTTCGCGGAAAACAATGCCAAGGGGTCCCACCAAATTTTCCCCGGATTCCTGTTACATAACAATTGGCCTTACGATTATGGTTTACTAACAACGAGCTTTGCAGCGCGTCGCTGTCATCCTAGACCAGGATTTATTTAGTGAGAAAAATTAATCACTCTGCCGGGATTCGAACCCATGACCTGGCCCTTATAAGGCAGCAAGGTTACCCACTAGACCACCGGGGCGACCGTGTAGACTATGTACCTTGCCCAACACACCCTTGGATCATTTCAAAGTGAGCAAGCCTAACCTGCCCTACCGGCTGCACCACGACCACCCACCAACACTTCTATGACCCTGTGTTCGGTCAACATCCTGTCGCGGGCTATCCTAATGGCCTACAGGTGGAGATAGCTGTGGCGTGTGGAGAAGTACAACAGAAACTTTTTCTGCACTTCTCGCTTTTTCCGTCCGCTCTCACCCCTCTTTTTATTTTTGGTTCCAGAAAAAATATATATGAATCGAAACATATCATGGGGATGGCGGACCACGCTTTCGGCCGGCGACTAGCCTAGACCCAAAGGGGTTAAGTTTCACACAACAGCAGTCACACGTTACCCGCGCTGAAAAACTGGAAAGCTTCAGACAGGCAACGCTGACGATACTTGCCGAGTACTGCAGGTATCAGTCATGGCAAGACTTCCTCCTTGGGCGCAAGCGAGTGAAGTCGCGTGCTTCTGCCACTCTAGATACAATACGTCGGTTCCCTTGCCCACAGGTGTAGTAGTAGTCTATGCAGAAAGGTCCCAGTCAGTAGTCTCCCAGCAAAAATTATAGGAAGAAGTATTCAATCCGTGCTTAGCAGGAGCATCCTAGTCTACATCAATCCTGAATGACATACAATCCGCGCGCAGTGAGAACCTTCGGAGCAATCGGCGGGGGGGAGGTCGTGTCGACCGCCCCCCTGTGGTCGGCTTGGTCGGCATCCATCGGTAGTGAAAGGTAAACTATGCGGGGTGCAGCAAGCACGTTCTGGACGTTGCTTTGGGGCACTGGGTAGTCGGCCGTGTTAGGCCGAGAGAGAGAGGTTGAGAGAGAGTTGGAGAGAGAGTGGGAGAAGGAAACTTGATTGGAGAGAGACGGTGGTGGCGGTGGAGAGAGGGGGAAGAAGTGCGCAGCACGCACGCAAGTCTCATCATCGCACCGACCACGCCCAAAGGGACCCGGTGACTGCACCTGTGGTGCCCTTAAACACACACGAAATTCCCAACACGTATCCCCCTGGGATCCTCACGACCAGATACTGCTGCGAGTATATCTAACATCCCCCCTGCTCGCAACAGTTTCTCACTGAAAACTTCGCTAACACCCGATATCTCAACCAAAAGACGTCTTTCCCAGATTACACACCATGAAGACTTGACCAGAATAGAATAAGAGAGAAAAACAATTCTAAGAAACATGAATGCTGCATCGCGCGTAACAATTACTTGGCGCGGGAAATGAAACAAAACGTGAAACAAAACAAGACCAAAACACAACCCATCAGAAAAACAATAAAATGTTCATGCCAAATTCATCACAAAATCACGGTGAGACTCCAAAGCATCCTTCGACAAACTCTTCGTAAGAAAGTCTCCACGCTGGTACGGCGACGGCACGTGGATGACCGAAATTTCCTTCCTCTCTACCAGTTCCCTGAGAAAATGGTGCCTTACATTTATGTGCTTCGAGTTCCAGTTTGAGATGGGGTTCTGCGCTAGTTGAATCGCCCCCTGGTTGTCCTCGAAGACGGGGATGCACGGCATGCCGACCTGCGGCAACATGAAACGCCAAATCTGCCTCAAAAACAAAATCTCCTTCACTACGTCGCCTAGCGCGACGTACTCTGCTTCTGTCGTCGAAAGCGTGACGCACTTTTGCGTTCTGGAAAACCAAGACACAGCGCCTCCTCCACACGTCACGATCCCCCCTGATACCGACCTACGGTCTGCTGCCTTGCTTGCAAAGTCCGCATCAGCGTACCCCTGCAAGCTGAATCCCTCTACCGTACCTCTCTGAAACGAAGTACCAAAGTGACTCGTCCTCCTTGCAAAGCCTAAAATGCCCATCGCTGCATTCCAGTGTACCAACGTCGGAGATGCGCAATACCTAGCTACTGCCCTTACTGCATTCGCAATGTCTGGTCTAGTCTGAGTCGCCAGCCACATCAACGATCCTACCAGCTCACGAAACGGAAACTCTGTCGCCACCTCATCCGCATCAAAATCAGAAAGCTTCACTCCCGAAGACATCGGAACGCTCTTACCTCCCACGACTCCATATCCTGCTGCTAGCTCATCCGTGAAAGTCTGCTGAGAAATCGTCAACCTACCGGTCTCCTTGTTCCTCTCGTAAAAGCACCCAGAATACCATCTCAACTCTCCCAGGTTCTTCACTGGCACGGACTTGTTAAGGTCGGCACCAAACTTGTCACAAGTCTCCCTCTCTCCCACAGCAGAAATGTCATCTACATGTAGACTACTACCAAAATCAAAACAACACATCCATCCTCAATCAAACGAAACACACAAGCATCGGCCATGCACTGCTCAAAACCTAACGCCATCAAACACCTCTTCAGCATTGCATGCCACTGCCTTGATGCCTGTCTCAAGCCATACAGACTCTTGCCTAGTTTTACAATCATTCCAGATAGAGCTCCACATCCCTGCGGCAAACGCATGTACACGTCTTCCTCCAACTCCGAACGCACTCGTCTAAAGCTTGCTCAATATCGAAATGACACAAGTCGAGGTTCAACTCGCACGCCAAAGCAGCCAACATCCTAACACACGAAACAGAAACGGTAGGCGCGTACAACTCTCCAAAGTCAATTTACTCTCTCTGCATATCACCTCTCGCTACAAGTCTCGACTTAACCTTAGTAGGCAATCCAAACTCATCTGCCTTCCAATCGAATACCCACTTAGCGTTAATTGCGTTCTCCACTAGACTACTCGAATTAATTGCTAGTTCGCCTGGAGTAAAAGTCCCCGCTTCCAACAAGCCATAAATCTCCCTTTGCATAGAGTCGCTCCAAAGGTGCCGGTGCTCCGACACCATGGCTTCTTTGTAGCTCTTGGGGACACGAAGGTCGCTGGCCTGGCAGTGAGGAAGATCAGGGCGTTGCTCCGGCGGGCGCTGGTCTCACATGAGGGCGCTTTGTGCAGTTCGCTCAGCTGTCAGGCCACTGAGGCCGCTATGGTAGTTGCAGAGCGGCCGCCGGGGGCACCGCCTACGCTAGAGCGGGGAACGGACCGGGGAACGGACCGGGGAAGCAGTACTCCCCTCTTGAGAAGGGAGTGAGAGGGAGAGAGCTTTCACACTGACTCGGACCTCAATCCAACCGTAGGATACATCGTCTAAGCCTTGATCGTCTTGGTGGGGGGGACGCTGATTGCAGAAAAGAAGGGTTTCGCTGGTTTGCGAGGCGATCTGGTTTTTGGCAGCATTTGACAGTGCCGCGGGCGTCGTTTGTTGCTCGTCTGCTCGTCTTGCTCTCGTGCTGCTGCTCGTGCTTCCCTCCACCTCCCTCGGCCTTTCATTTGTGCATGCTGCTGCATGTGCGAGCCACGGGAGCGCACTCAAATATACTTCGTGTGTCTTTCCCGACAAAAAATAGGCGGAGCAATAGTCTGAACACGCGAGAAGTGGATGTTTCCACCTCGTTTCCACTACTGCTCCACATCTGTCCGCTTCCACACTGGATCTCCTGTTCTCGTGTCCGCGTCCTGCCTGATTTGGCAAGCTCACTGGTGGTAGAAGAGTAAGCACACCTTCCGGCAAGTCCGACGAGAGGAAGGATGAGCAGCCCCCGAGAGCCGGGAGACGCGGTCGCGGCAGCAGACGTGGTGCCTTCAGTGAAAGAGATTCTGGACATGGTGGCTGTCGAAGCAGGGCTGCTAGGTAGTGCCTTTTACGATGAAACCACGCCAGGTATGTGCGTCGTCTAGAGTATAGTCTGAACGCGGGGCGATGCGATGTTGTCGAGCTCTTTGCGCTTATGCAATATCCGTGTGTATGTCTGCAGTATCCAGCGAGAAGTGTAAAAGGTGCCTCAGTTTACTGCACTACGGGTTCTTTCGATGGAACGTGCCCCCTATGAAGGCTTGTTTGTGTAAGACCGACTGCTGTGGCGGCGTATTCTAGCCCAAATCAGTCCGCCTTAAACGGCAGAAGAGTTGCCAGTGCGGAAAAGGATGGCGTTGGCATGAAATATTATCCAAGGCCTCTCTGGAAAGTCATCATTCGGCATTTGGCACCCTGGAGGGGGAGTGGATGGAGTACACGTAATCGAGCATCGGAAATGGCCCCCACATACAGATACAGATGGGTCGGACATGAGGTATTCTACAGCAGTACATGGTCCCGTCTCACGACCCGACCCTCGCTCGACACGCACTGCTTGCGAGCGGCAGCAAAGAGAACCCGTCGTAGCGGAAGTGTGTAGCTTGGCCTGCCAAGGAACACTGCCTGCCCGAATGTAGTGACGATGCTGTACAACAACAACCACCTTTTTCTTCCCCCCACGACGATCTTGAGGTTGATCGGCGAAGTTATTAGCTTTTCACGATCGACCGACTCGTCCCCGTTATCCCTCAAGTATTTCTGTTTCCTTCCTCCCGCGGCGTTCGACTTTTCCCCGCTCTCTCAATGGCCGAGTGCTGCTGGAGAAGTTAGTGGTACATGTTTTTTTCCTCCAAGCGCTACATACAACAACATCGGCCGTTGTCTAAGGCAGTCAGCTTTGCGATTCCCGCTAAGGATGATGTGCCTCTGCACCGCTGTCCCGACCTCCTGTGCCAGACGAAGAAGAAGCTGCGCGGGATGTGGCCAAGGTGATGTCGGTTGTAAGGCCACTTCTCGAGAGTTACCAGCACCGCCACGAGGAGCTCGCCGGGTTGCTGACTGCGTCGCAGGCGAGCGCGGCGTCCGCCACCGCTGATGCCAGAGAGCTGTCCCGGGATCACCTGAAGACGTTTGGGCGGCTCGAAGAGGGCTGCGCCGGGCTTCGTCAAAAGTTAGACGTTGCTGCTGCCACTGCTGGTGAGAAGCAGAACTGGTTCACGTTCAATGTGGTACAGTAGTGCGTTTGGTTTCTGTGTGAGTGTTGAAGCTTGAGGTATTTTGTCAGCAGCAAATTTTCGGGGAATGTGGCGGTTATACGTTGCTTTGTTTAGCAGTGCGTACATCACTGCCAATGGGCAGAGCAGGCTGTTTGCGTACATTGCGCACCGTCCACAGCAGTGTGCGCACACTTGCACTCGCTGATGACACTCCTCACTGCCTTGCTCGACTGGGACATGTCATACTCTTGCAACAGCAGCAGCAGAGGCAGCCAACAGTCTTTCCGGTACGAACATTCCGGAACAGCGAGGCAGCGGCGTCAGCAGCCTCAGCAGGGCTGAGGTCGCCACCCAGCGACGGCTAGCCGCGGTGTCGGAGGCCGATACCCTTGCCGCGCGCTACCGCTCTCTCGTTCAGCGGAGGCGACGCATGCGCTCGGCGCTCCGCGTGCTGGAAGTGTCTGAGAAGGGTAGGGCTGCCCTTGAGGCCGGAGCGGAAAGTCGGGGGCAACTCGGAGCAAGAGCCGAAGAAACCATGAAGGTGGGTAGATGGGCCGGTGGGTGGGCGAGTGTGGTGATGATGGGGACAAGTTATGGTGTGCGCATGGGGGGGGGGGGTACTCATAGTCGTGCATGCCGTAGTCGTTAGACCATTGACCTCGCATCCCTACAAAGCCGGGACGGAGCACGCCGGGTTCTCACCGGACCAGGCTCTCACATCACCAAGCGCGAAGCGCCGTGAGATATTCGGCGAGTCGCATGAAGGGTGCGCTGCATCCTGCTAAGGGTTTTCGGCATCTTGTGCTTACTTCCTTGCGTACGGATGACAGCTGCGTATGACTTAATTTATTTTCTGGTGCTTTCACTTCCAGAGACAGTTGTAAGCACTGTGTAACTGCCTCGAGGGTGCTTGACCATTTTAACACAACGTGGTGCGATCATCCCCCTTGCGCGGAGCGAGGGTTCTCCACCCCGCACAACATGATCTACTCGACCACCGTTCATGGTTATCGCCAAAAAAACAAAGGTAAAAAAAAAAATA